CCGCTCCGGCACCCCTCGAGCTTCGGGGGTTTGTCCGGGATCTCTGTCCATTTGGGCCAACTCCGCGACAAAGTCGGCTACCGCCTGGGCCTTGATGGCGGTTCTGGGAATGTAGCTGATATCATGTTCACCGAGCTCCACCGCCCATCGGAGGAGCCGACCTGCAACATCGAATTTTGTTAAGACCTGCCGAAGAGGCTGGTTGGTGATGACATCCACCGGGTGCGCTTGGAAGTAAGGGCGCAACTTCCGGGCCGAGAGCACCAGGGCGAGTGCAAGCTTTTCTATCGGCGGGTAGCGTTCTTCAGGTCCACTCAGGACGTGGCTGACGTAGTAGATCGGGAGTTGTGGACCAGAGCTTTCCTTGACAAGGACGGAGCTGACCGCACGCGGGGAGGCCGCCAAGTAGAGTCCCAGCTTCTCGCCGGGGGAGACAAAGGCGAGTCGAGGGAGGCTGGCCAAGTGCTGCTTCATCTGTTTCAAAACCTCCTCGCATTCCGATGTCCATTGGAAGTTCTTCGGGTCTTTGAGCACCTTGAAGAACAGGAGGCAGCGATCACCCGATCAGGCGAGGAAGCGAGACAGGGCGACAAGTCTTCCGTTGAGTCGCTGCAGGTCTTTAACCGTCCGGGGGGACTGCATATCGATTATTGCCTGTACTTTCTCCGGGTTGGCATCGATTCCTCTCTGGTGTACAATGAACCCTACGAACTTCCCGGAGGTGACGTCGAAAGCGCACTTGGCGGGGTTGAGCCGCATGCCGAACTTGCGTAGCGTGGCGAAGGCCTCGGCTAAGTCGGCAAGGTGCGTTCCGGCCTCTCTGCTTTTCACAATCATGTCGTCCATGTAGATTTCCATGTTCCTCCCGATTTGATGGGCAAACATCTTGTTTACCGTCCTCTGGTATGTGGCTCCAGCATTTTTCAACCCGAACGGCATGACCTTGTAGAAGTATATCCCTTGATCGGTGTGGAAAGCCGTGTGTTCCCTGTCTTCAGGCGCCATCCTGATCTGGTTGTACCCTGAATAGGCGTCCATGAAAGGGAGGCGTGTGTGCCCCGCTGTCGGGTCGACCAGCTGGTCTATCTTCGGGAGGGGATAGCAGTCTTTAGGACATGCACTGTTGAGACTAGTGTAGTCAACGCACATCCTCCAGCTTCCATTGTGTTTTTTCACGAGAACTACATTGGACAACCACCGGGGATACTTGGCTTCTTCTATGATGCCTGCCGCCAAGAGTCGATTCACCTCCTCTTGTATGGCGCGTTGTCGGTCAGGTGCGTGGCGCCGGGGTTTTTGCTTCACCGGGCGAGCGTCAGGTGGGATATTGAGATGATGCTCCGCGACCTCCGGGTCGACTCCCCTCATGTCCGATGGGGACCAGGCGAAGATGTCGGCATTTTCCCGCAGAAGACCGACGAGCTGCTCTTGTTCCTGCTTGGGCAGCTCTGATCCGACCTTGACCGTCTGATCCGATTGTGCTTTCCGTAAAGGGATGTCAACAATTGATCCCCTCGGCTCAGAATGAGGGGCCGGCTTCTTTGCTTCCCGGGGATCTTTTAGGGGCGCCTCTCCCCTGGCTCTTTTGCCCAATGAGACGGAGGTAAGGTAGCAGCGCCTGGACTCTTGGGGGCTTCCGGTGACTTCCCCGACCCCCTCACAAGTCGGGAATTTGACGGTCCGGTAGTAGGTCGAGACAACGGCTCTGACCTTGTTGAGGGTTGGCCGACCAAGTATGGCATTATAAGCGGTGGGAAGGTCGACCACCAGAAAAGCGGTCATCACGGTCTTCGATTTCGGCGGGGTCCCCAGAGTCAGAGGTAGGGTAATGGCTCCCAGGGGTGATATTGAATCTCCCATGAAGCCGGTGAGCGTCGAGCACATCGGGCTTAAATTTTCCCTGGCTAGGCCTAGCTTCTGGAAGGCGCCAAAGTAGAGTATGTCGGCCGAGCTCCCCGTGTCAACCATGATTCTCCTCATTTGCGTGTTGGCTACCCTGACCGATATCACCAGGGCGTCGTCGTGGTCGGGTTGCTCAGCAGCTCCGGTTGCGAAGGTGATCTCAGGCTCGGGTTCGCGCCCCGAGGCTTCGTCGGGAGCGGCCTGGGCGTACGCCTTCCTGCCCGACATAGAACTTCCTCCGGATGCGGGGCCCCCGGCTATGACATCGATGTGTCGCTCGACGGGGCCCTTTGGGCGAGGAGACTGCTCCTTGTTCGACCGGAGGTACTGGCCGAGATGACCTCTGAGGATGAGCTCCTCGATTTGTCTTTTCAACTCGTAGCACTGCTCAGTGTCGTGCCCGTGTTGTCGATGGAATCGGCAATACTTCGAACGGTCTGCGAGCTCCCGCGGGTTCTTCATCGGGTGAGGGTCCCTGAGCAGCCCCTTCCCCCTTTCGTGTAGAAATATCTCAGTCCGGGAAGAATTCAAGGCGGGAAGAGGAGGCCTTGGGTCAAGCCTGTCCAACTTTCGTCGGGGGGCAGTAGGTTGTTGCTGTCGGGGCGGCTCTGACTTGACCTTTCTGTGCTCCTCCCGCTTTCCGACCATCCAGGTTTCCGCGGCGATGAACTGACTGGCCCGTTGGAGCATCTCGGGGACCGCGACAGGGGGCCACTCCACGAGCGACCAGAAGAACCTGGAGGGCCGCAGGCCAGTCATAAAGGCCTGCATTAAGAGAGAGGGGTGAGCATCCGACAATCCACGGATTTACGTCGTAAATCGGTTCACAAAGTGAGAAAGGGGCTCGTCCTCCTTCTGGTTGAGCCCTAAGAGCAACGCCATGGACGACTTCGGTCGGGCGTACGCCAGGAAGTTAAGCTCAAAATCTTTGGCGAGCTGGTCAAAGGAGGCAATGGTCCCTGGCTTCAGGCCGCTGTACCATGCACGGGCTGGTCCTCGCAGGGTCGTCGGGAACGCCCTGCACATCAGGGCGTCCGAAGTACCGAATAGCGCCATCTGGGCTCGAAAAGCGGCCACGTGGTCCGCCGGGTCGGTCGCGCCGTCATACGCGTCCAGGGAGGGGAGGCGGAAGTGCGGCGGGATCGCCTGATCCTGTATCTCGGGGGTCGGTCGCGCTCGCTCCGGCCTGTTTGTCCCGGCCTTTTACATCTTCGAGGGTCCTCAGCCCGTTCTGTACGCCCCACTCACCCTGCCCCTACCCAGTTCAAATCAGTTTCACCAGCAACAACAGCAGCAGATGATATCTTTTGCGCACAGTCATCCGTATCAAATTGGAGCTTATCCAACTTCTCCGTTGTTTATGACGGAGGGAGCGGCCCCGGTGGCGATGTCTCGGCAGCAGCAGCAGGTGTATCAGGAACAGCTACTGAAGTACTGGAGCGAGTCGCTATACCTCAGCCCGCGAGGCTATTTTTCTGGGCAGGAGAGGAGGTGAATGCCGGCTTCGGTGTATCCGAATTCTTTCGGCCTCCGATGCTGCCCTCTGTCTCGGCCCGACGAAGATGTACCGCGGCGTACGACAGCGGCACTAGGGGAAGTGGGTGGTGGAGATCCGCCTTCCGAAGAACCGTACCCGCCTCTGGCTCGGCACCTTCGACACCGAGGAGGACGCCGCCCTCGCGTAGGACCGCGAGGCATTCAAGCTCAGGGTCGAGAACGCGCGGCTCAACTTCCCCAACCTCTTCCTCTGCAAAGGCGACGGCGGCGGTAGTAGCAGAGGTGAGGCTTCATGTTTGATAGGGATAATGATTGTGATGTGATTCGCGTGACGATAGCTGACGTTATATACCTCTGTCGAACTGACAACATCTGGCCAATTAGGTTGAAACGGTAACTAAGGAACATTAACACCCCGTTCAGAACCGGTTACATACGCCACGCTAACAGCAGGGTCACACGCCATTGGGAGTACGACCCTGCCACCTCCTGACGAGCCGGCACCTCACGTAACCGGGACACCTCCTTATAAAACCCCAGCCTACCTACCAAGAAGAGGAGGATCCGGAGAAGAATAACCCCCCCCCCCTTTTTACTCAATTTGGCTAACTTGATCGTCGGAGGGGTCGGGTCGAGCACCCCGACCTGGCCTGTGTATTGGTACGAGGACGAGACGCCCCCTACCGGTCGCATAAGGGAAGAGGCCCCAACCTAGAGGAAACACAGACCCGAGCCGGCGACGCTTGCAGTTCCGAGGATACCCCCGAGAGGTCCCCGTCATTCGGACCCAGAACAAGCCGCATCGGCCCCGAGGCCACGGCATAAAGTTCGCACTAACATTTTTGGCACTAGGAGGGCCGAATGTCGAGGGATCCTCAGACCGACCCTAGCGAGCCGCCGGTCGGAGGACCGTTCTCGGCGGAAGTACCTGCCAAGGGCCCTTCGTGCGACGGACCACGACCGGATGACCTGGCAGTGACCTCGGAGCGTTACTGGCAGCTATTTAATGACCCAGGTCTACTTCCCCCAGAGGGGGCCCCGGGCGTCCCGTCGCCCGTATCGAGCGAGGCCTTCCGCGACCTCGTCCACCAAGTCCGGACATTGGCGGGAATGGTACAGACTGCCGTCCCTTTCGTCTCTCAATCAGGAAACCCATCGGCGGTGCAACCGCCGCGTCAAGTGGGGCAACCTGGGCCGACCCCCGCGGCTATATCGGCACCTCCGATTTCTCCCCCACCCCGGACATCTCCTCTTGGGGAACAGGCAGTGGAAAACCTGATCACCCAACCCGAACATGAGGTAATATAATCAGGCTCCACGGATTCATTTCGGGCCCAACTGCGACTTTTCGGCCAATGACTCGAAGAAATACAGAGGGAGGTCTGTAGCACACGGGGGGAGACAGGGGTCGACCCACATCGAGGATCACCATTCGTGGCCGAAATACGGGACCAGTCGGTCCCCGCGAACTTTCGTCTCCCCACTCTGGATGCTTATGACAGAGCCGCTGACCCGGCAGATCACGTGGCCGCTTTCCGAGCCCAGATGACACTCTATGGGACGTCGGACGCGTTATGTGCCGAGCATTTCCCACGACCTTGATGGGGCCAGCTCGCACGTGGTACAGCGGCCTGAAGTCCGGGGGAATCGCCTCCTTCGACCAGCTCGTTAGGGAGTTTGAGCTGAACTTCTTGGCTTCATCCCGACCAAAGCCATCTGTCGCCCTGCTCTTTGGACTAAACCAGAAGGACGATGAGCCTCTCTCCTGCTTCGTGAATCGTTTTGCCGGAGAAGTCCGAGGGTTGTCGGATGCTCATCCCTCTTTGTTGATTCAGGCATTCACGGCCGGACTCCATCCCTCTAGATTCTTTTGGTCCCTCGTGGAGCGGCCCCCCATCACCGTTGCCGAAATGCTCCAGCGAGCCAATCAATTCATTGCGGCCGAAGCTTGTATGTCGGGAAGACGAGACGGGCAAAGCAGACCCCGGGCGGAGTCATCAAAGGGACAGTCGTACGTCCCCTCGAAGCGCAGGCTGGACCAACCCAACCCGGCCGCTGCAAGACCATCGCTCCCTGCTTTCGGGACATCCCAGACGCAGATATTTCTTCAGATAAGGGATAAGGGTTTGCTGCGAACCCCTGCCCCCATGAGGAGCCCGCGGGCGCTCGCAGACCGCACTCGTTACTACCGATTCCACCGGCAGAATGGGCACGACACGGAGGAATGCCACGAGTTGAAGCGGCAGATAGAAGAACTGATCCAGAGAGGGCACCTCGGCCGCCATCTGCGACAGGATAAAGAGTTATCACCGCGACCCGAGGGCCCCATCAAAAAACAGATTGACGTAATCACGGGAGGTTTGGCTTCGCGAGGAAATAGCATGTCCGGACGCAGGGCCAACGCCCATGCTGCCCCGATTGAAGACCTGGAGCATAGGTCGAGGCCCGAGGTCACTTTCCCCGTTGAGGGAGCCAGGCAACCCGAGCATGATGATGCGTTAGTGGTGTCCGTCAGGATCGCCAATGCCCAAGTGAAAAGGATTATGGTTGATACTGGGAGCTCAGCCGACATCCTCTATTTCAATGCCTTCCAGAGGCTCGGCTTTTCCCACGGCGCCCTGGAACCCATGAACTCGGCGCTCACCGGGTTTACTGGCGAATCAATCGCGCCTCTGGTTGCAATTACCTTGCCAATAACTCTTGAGGAAGCACTAAGAACTAAGACCTTGATCACGTCTTTCCTGGTGGTCAACCTTCCCGCTGCATATAACGCGATTCTGGGACGCCCCACACTCAACAAGTTCAGGACAGTCATCTCCACGTACCACAGGACCATACAATTCCCGACTCGTGAGGGGGTTGGGGAAGTTAGAGGGAGCCCCCGAGAGTCGAGGCAGTGTTATATGACCGCCACCTCCCTGCACAAGAAGAGGAAGGTAGAACAACCCTTCACGGACCCCCGGCAAGGAAAAAAGCCTGACCTGCACCCTGAGCCAGCGACATCAACTGTGGACGTACAGCTTCAGGAGGGGAGACCGGATCGAACGGTCAGGCTCGGATCGAAACTCGCTGAAACAGAGCAAGCTCAGCTCATCAATCTCCTTCAGGAGAATGCCGATGCCTTCGCATGGTCTCCCGCAGACATGCCAGGCATCGATCCCGAGGTGTCCCAGCACCGGCTGAATGTTTCCCCCGATGCGCGGCCGATCAAGAAAAAGCCCTGACGTCTCGCACCCGAGCGCCAACAGGCCATCAAAGTCGAAGTAGAGCGACTCCTGGCGGCTGGATTCATCAAGGAAACTAAGTACCCTCGTTGGCTGTCCAATGTAGTCCTTGTGAAGAAATCAAATGGAAGCTGGAGGATGTGCATTGACTACACCGATCTCAACTGAGCTTGTCCCAAAGACTGCTACCCCCTCCCACGGATCGATCAGTTGATCGACGCCACTGCCGACCATGCTCGTCTTTCGTTCATGGACGCCTTCTCCGGATACAACCAGATCCGAATGGCGCCTGAAGATCAGCAGCACACCGCATTCTTCACTGACCAAGGGCTATATTCTTACAAAGTTATGCCCTTCAGATTAAAAAACGCAGGAGCCACATATCAGAGGACCGTAAACAAGATCTTTACTCACCAAATCAGGAGGAACCTGGAGGTCTACATCGACGATATGATCGTCAAGAGCCGCACATCCGCAGCACATTTGTCCGACCTAGCCGAGACTTTCGACACGCTGCGAAGATACAAGATGCGACTAAATCCCGCCAAATGCGTCTTCGGGGTTAACTCGGGAAAATTTTTCGGATTCATCATACATGAGAGGGGCGTCGATGTGAACCCCGAGAAGGTCCAGGCGGTCGTCGACATGCAGAGCCCACGGAGCATCAAGGACTTGCAACGCCTGAACGGGAGGTTAACCGCCATGTCTCGATTCCTATCCCGCTCCGACGATAGGTGTCTTCCATTTTTTCGCGCCTTGAAGAATCCGAAAGACTTCAAATGGACCGAGGAATGTGAGGAGGCCTTTACTCATATCAAAGAGCATCTGGCGTCCCTCCCTCGCCTCGCCTCGGTGTCCCCCTCGGAAAAGCTGGGTGTCTACTTGGCGGCATAACCCAACGCGGTAAGCTCCGTCCTGATCAAGGAGGCTTCTGGGGGGCAACTCCCAGTTTATTACACTAGCCATGTGTTGAACGGACCAGAGTCACGATACGCCCCAATTGAGAAGCTGGCATTGGCGTTAATTCTGACCGCCCGCAAGCTACGCCCCTACTTCCAGATGCATCCGATTGAGGTGATCACTAATCGGCCACTCCGACAGATTCTGTCTAAGTTCGATGTTGCAGGACGGCTCCTCAAATGGTTGGTAGAACTCGGAGAATTTGACATCCGCTATGTTCCGAGGACCGCCATCAAAGCCCAAGCTCTGGCCGATTTCATCGCGGAGCTCAGCCCAAGTGAGGAGGAAGAGGCCACACGTGCCGAGGGGGCGTGGACCCTGCACGTCGATGGTTCGGCCACAGCGAAAGGCGTAGGCGCAGGGATAGTGCTCACGGCCCCCAACGGGCACTCGTTCGAGCGTTCCCTCCGCTTCGGTTTTGCAGCCACCAACAATGAAGCTGAGTACGAAGCGTTGCTGGCAGGACTCAGACTGGCCCGAGAAATGCAGGTAGACTCCATCCACGTCCTCACGGATTCGCAGCTTGTGGCCGAGCAACTCGCCGGAGGTTACGAGGCCAGAGAATCGACTATGGCAGAATACTTAGTCGAGGTAAAGAACCTGGTCTCCTCCTTCTCGCATTTTAAATTGACTAGGATCCCAAGGAGCCAGAACGAACGGGTTGACGAACTGGCGAAACTGGCTTCAAGGTCGGATGCTAAAAACCGTTCCAAAGTTGAAGAGCTCCCTTCTCGCGCCATAATGGTTTCGGCTATAACACCGGCCGACACCCGCGCCACTTGGGTTCATGAGATGTTGCTCTTCAAGCGAGACGGGATCCTTCCTGACGACGACGTGGTAGCTCGACGCATCCGCCGAACCCAGGCTTGGTATACGGTGGTGAACGGGCGCCTCTATAAGCGCTCTTTTTCACGACCTTTATTGCGCTGTCTCGAGCCAGAAGAAGCTCGGACAGTCCTAGTTGAGGTACACGAAGGTATCTGCGGGGAGCATGTCGTAGCTCGAACCCTGGCTTACAAGATCCTTCGTCAGGGCTACTTCTGGCCCACCATATACCAAGACGCAAAGTCCTACGTACGGCGTTGTGGCCCATGTCAAAGGCACGCTCGCACTCCTCGATAGCCGGTGGTTCCGCTCACCCCCATCAGCTGCGCATGGCCATTCACGCAATGGGGGTTGGACCTTCTCGGGCCTTTTCCGCCGGCTTCCGGGCAACGGAGGTACATCGTCGTAGGAGTGGACTACTTCACTAAATGGGTCGAGGCCGAGCCTCTGGCAGCAATCACCGAGTGGCAGATAGAAAAGTTCGTCTGGAAGAACATCACTCAGTTCGGGTTGCCCGAAGCCATTATCACCGATAACGGGACTCAGTTTGCTAGCTCTAAGTTCCGGGAATTCTGCACAAGCTACAGGATTCAGCTGAGATTCAGCTCGGTGGCCCATCCCCAGACAAACGGTTTGGCCGAGGTAACAAACCGATCTATTTTAGATGGGCTTCGAAGAAGAGTGTCCGTGGCTCGGACATCCTGGGTGGACGAACTCCCTAGTATCTTGTGGTCCCTACGGACCACTCCCAAAACCACGACTGGGGAATCTCCGTACAGCCTTTCATTCGGCGCAGAAGCGGTTCTTCCCCCAGAAGTAGTTTTCCCCACTTACCGAACGGAAACTTATGACAGGGTGATTTTCGATCAAGGACTTCGAGCCAGCGTTGACCTGTTGCAAGAGCGACGCGCTGACGCACACCTGAAGAACCTTCTTTACAAAAAAGCAGTCGCTAGGCTCTACAACCGCAGGGTACGTCCTCGCTCGATCAAATTAGGCGACCTGGTTTTACGAAAGGCTGAGGTCAATGACCCAGGTCGGGCGCGCGGTAAGTTATCTCTCAATTGGGAGGGCCCCTATCGAGTCGTGGATGTTGTTAGAATCGGCGTATACCGACTCGCAACACTACAGGGTCGTCCTTTGCCCCGGACTTGGAACGTGCACAATCTGAAAAAGTTTTTCACTTAAACTGATCGAAAAAGACCTTTTCATTCATAAGAAAGATGCATTACAATAAAGCCCAGCCAACTGGGCGAAAAAGTAAAATTACAAGGGCGATTATTTTTCAGGAGCGTCGACGCTGTCGTTAAACGGCACGTCGTCGGCAAGAATCCAAGCAACACCAATAGCAGGACGAGCCCAGACAATCAAACACTCCATCTGCCGTAGCTGAGACTATAACCGGTGGCACAACCACCTCTGCGGACACCCCATCGGTACTGTACAAACCCATCGGAAGCAAGTCCGGAACAACGGAATCCACGCCGCAGCCGTCGGAGATGGTATGGGACGACGCCGATGCAGCATGGTTCAGCACCTGGGGTCCTGGGAGCTCCATGTGGGACGACATCGACGGAGCTAACAGCCTGCTGTTCCAATTCCCCCTCATCAGCATCGCCGAGTCCGACATGGACTGCTCCAGTTGTACACCAGCATGTCAGGATACTGCCACCACCCCTGCTTCTTCTTCCAATCCTTGCTCTCCCTTCTTGTTTATGTGGAAGGAGTGATCACACACACTCGTATCACTATTCATTATTTTAGGAGCTTAGAGAAATCACTCGCTCTCAGGACAATTGATTTGGGTAGGAACAGTTCACTGGTTGCAGATTTTATGGGGCAACCCGTGAACATACAAATCTGATCTGCATGCCAAGGGATATGATTTAGAGCATAAACATTCCTCAGTGCTCTTTCATACATCCTTCTGCTGCTGCACTTCAGATGCCAATGGATCCCTGTTTTGGCTGCTTTTTTTCCAAGCCACAACAGTAGCATGGCACCTTCTGCTTTCTCCACACTCTTAGTTGATCCTTGCACTGCTTATAGATCTTATCACACTCATGTCGCTTGGAGTCGTCGTATGCATGTAAAAGAAGTCATTGTAGTGGGTGATGAGGAAGGAGAAACGGAGACGATTTGGAGTTCGCCGTTCCTTCCTTTACAGGGGTCGGAATCTACAACCTATGCTTTGTTGTTCTTCAAAGTCAAACATTCAGCTTACGTGGCCTCGTTTTGTGTTGATCAGCGACAGTGGGGCGTTCTGTTTTCTTGCCACCTCCTTTTCATTGATTGATTAGAGTGAAGGATACGGAGCTTTGAAGACGACAACATGTTCTTCATGACTCCATAAAATATTAGAAAATTACGAAAAAATCCGCCCCCTTGTGAAGCAGAAACCCACCGATAAATATTTTAAGAATGATATATATTTTAGTTGGATTATTAGACAACTTAAAAGTTGAAATACAATATTTAAACTCACAGTCTCTCTTGATGTCTTAATTAATATTTTGATTGGGTTATGATAATTGGATTACTTGGAGGTTTTCATATAATAATGAGATGATGAACACGTGTCGATGAAACATTGGTCAGTAAGACGAGTCTGAATGATGATGAGATGTTGAACTCTACATTTCATATGTTAGAATTAATTTTAAATTTTTAGAAAATAAATACTAATATAGGGATATAAATAATCTGGGATGAAGAGATGAGGACTTCAAACGACTCTAGACAAATAAGACGCGATTTATGGCGCGAGAAATGCTTAGGTACGACGAAACTGGTTAGTGAAAGTGCTCCAAAAAATGGCGTTATGTCAAATCCCGATCTCGACGAGAAATTTCACGAAGGAACACAAACGCGGACTTCCAATAACACCAAGCCACCGTAGAAGAAGTCTCTCTCTTCCCCCAACCCCCGTCAACTCGGCACTCTTCTCTTCCAAGATCACCGCGGTCTCCCAAGGCGGCGGCAACCATGGCGAGGAGCGCGCGGTACTCCCGGACGCTCCTCGGCCGGAGATCCTCCTCGTTCACTCTGATCCTGGCGGCCCTTCTGACCGCGTCGGTCGTCCTGCTGATGCTCCTCGCCTTCGGAGTCTTCTCGCTCCCCGTCGGTTCCGACTGAAAGCATAAAAAT